TAAACGAATGCTTTTTACTTGTCATTTAGAAAATATTGTTTCGGATACGGCTTTTCCCCTTTAGGACTGTGATATTCAACCCTTTCTCTATAACTTACCTCGTCGACTGTATGTTGCTCGTCATATACCCCTTTACTACCATGTAAAACAAGAATATCTAATGTAGACACATAACAAGAAAGCACCTTTATTTCTTATATTTTGCAAAGAATGTTCTGATTAAGAAATATAATATATAGTTGTTGATAACTCGGTTTAAGAAAAGATTTAAAAAAAAGGCATCAAACATTATCAGTTGGAAAAATCACATGCTGTCTGCTAAGATCCATCACATCGAGGGTGTCACGTATATTCTTTTTTACTCACAGGGGTAAACATACCCTTGGTCAAAAAATCCCAGCTTTAGGCGAATTTGACTTAGTCATTGTCCAATACATGTACAATTATAAAAGCTTTATAATATGGTAAGTTATATTATTTTACCTCTTTTTTCATGTCTTATAAAAGTTCTTGTTTTTGATAAAGACATAGATGCTAAAAGGGAAAAATAATCAAGTGAAAGCCTTCTTGTTATACAGGCGTTTTGATTTTTGAAGATAAAAATAGTTTATAGGGGTCTTAAATGTTTTTGCTACTATAACAACTAGGGAACATAGTGAAAAATCATAGGCAAAGGATGTTAAGATATATATATATATATTTTTTCATTTGGTAGGACTTTGTGTTAAGATATTCAGAAAATATTAAAGAGATCGAGTATCAAGTTTTATTTAGTGCCGACGTAAAAAATATTTCTCTCTTTGAATAGGGAGATTTGAGAAAATGTATGCATGTGTTACTTAAAAAGCTGTGTCTGAATGTAAATCACTATAGTCCGACGGTTGGGGTGATCGTCTTTTAAAGATAACAACTTATCTAGTTCCATCTCTTGCTGCATATTTGTAGAAAGGCAATGACGGGGAAATCGAGAAGTAAAGTTTGGTTGAATTATACACGTTGGCAAGGTTATTTGTGTCCTTTTATAATATTTTTCCCGTTCTTGTGGGAGGCAAAAAAGCATATTTGCTAGATAAATGAAACTACAATAACCAAAAATTGCCGTAGTCCGACTTAAAGATAGCAACTTATCTATCCCCGTCTCTTATAGCATGTTTGTACTGGTGAGAAAGATCATGACGGGGAAATCGAGAAGTAAAGTTTGGTTGGATTATTTCCCATCGACTAGGCTAATTGTGTCTTTTTTACAATATTTTTCTCGTTCTTGTTGAAGACAAAACAGCATATTTGTTAGGTAAATGAAACTACAGTAACCAACATTAGTGGTTACCGTTGCATAGTTCCTTTTCTTTGTATATGCTTGCAGGGAGGTACTATAGACAATTTTGTGGAGGGGGAGTAAATTACTGAAAAGCTAGTCCACCTTCTGTTCTGATTCATCTTTTTCTTATGTCATCATAAAACGGAGGATCTCTAATCGATGTTTACCCTGGTCTTTTTATATCAGAAGAGAATGCACTGTATTGACGTGCAAAGATACGGCTGTCTGCATAGAGTTATACATATGGGAAAGCTGAACATATTTCCTAGTTTGCAGATTGTACAAAAATTGAGAGCTGAGGCGGGAACACTTTTTGGGAAAAAACATTGCCTCTTGAGGTTAATTAGCAAATCATAGCTGGGTCGGCACATGGGGACAGGTGGTAGATAATTAGTTGTTCAGACGGAAATAGGAGGGGGAACCCCGTTTTTGGTCTCGTGCAGATGCGTTGAAAACCCTATTAATGCTCTCTAAATAGAATAAAACCTGGCGGCTTTTCAACCTGTTAGGTAATTAACCTGTTGTATAAGCCTGAAATTTTCAAACGTATGAGATAGTGGGTATCGCATTTACATTTATACAGAAAATTTAAACCTGTTATTTTTATTTTATTTGTATTATCACCTGTTAGGTGCGTTTTTGTCATAATAAAGGCATATTGAGTACAGCAAGAGTTTCATGATCCTTTTGACTGAATTGTATTTTTATTAGAAAGATGCCTTTGGGATGTAAGATAGCTTATCAATCGTCTTGCGAAGTTAAGAAATTTCTGTTGTGTTATTCTTATTAGAGTTGCATCTTTGTTATATTATGCATTTGTAAACATTTGTAAAGATATTGATTATAGTCTTTGAAATTATTTTTTTATATATGCATATGGAGTGAGAAATGGATATTGTCATATACATATATATTTAGTCTTATATTTACATAATGAGAACATTGATAATCTTAGTAAGGATTAAGATGGGTTACACCTCAAGACGAGACTGCACCACCGCTGTCGTTACCTCTGAGCAAGAAGAGATGGTCATATTATCACCCTCGTTATATGGAACTCGGGTGATATGATTTGTATTTGTGTCTGTTTGTTTGTACTAAAGGCATATTTGAAGACCTTAATAAAGACATTGAGTACAGCAACGAATTTTATAATCCTTTTGACTGCAATGAATTCTTAATATTGAGGTGTTTTGGCGATTTAATGTAGACAACGTGTCAAGACATTTATGGATTATGATGAATTAGGGAGGGGTGATCACTCGTCTGTAGCAAGATTAATTATCGGTTCAGTTACATGTTTAAACATTGTGAATATTGCCAAAGTGTTTATACAATTGAAAATAAAGGTATGTATTGTATGACGAATTTTTATAATCTATTACAGTTAATTGTATTCTTATCCCTGGTATGGCGAGGGAGGAACAGTAATTATCTGTCATTAGCAGACCTGTGTGACCTATTTAATATTGATTTTGCCAGTTAAGTGTGTGTGTGTGTGTGTGTGTGTGTGTGTGTGTGTGAGCACCTTGTATAGTGTTTATACAATCGAAAATAAAAGCATATATTGTATAACGAGTTTTATAATCCTTTACACTTAATTGTATTCTTATCTCTGTCATAGTGAGGGAGGAGCAGTAATTATTGGTTGTTGGCAGGCCTGTGTAACCTAGTTATTATTGATTTTCAGTCATTAGGAGAGGTGGTTCCCTCGTCTGTAACAGAATCAATTACCGATTTCGGTACAAGTTCAAACATGGTGAATATTGTGGTATGGGTGGGAGGGGATAATGGGTGAGTCATCTATAGCATCTGCCTGTGTGTGAGACATCACTGACTATGGGTAATGATTTCGGTTGCGGTTATTGATTAGTTAATTGTTTTCAGTGGTTATCTTTCTGTTATGATGTGCTATTTTGAACTGTAAGGTGTGCGTGCTAGCCATCATTAGCTATGGTCTAGTGGTTACCTCATGATCATTAACCTGCTTGTGACGCCTCGTCTGTAACAGAATCAATTATCGATCTCGGTACAAGTTTAAACATGGTGAATATTGTGGTGTGGGTGGGAGGAGCAACGTGTGAGTCATCTATAGCATCTACCTGTGTGCTAGACACTGCTGGCTACGGGTAATGATTTCGGTTATGGTTATTGATTTGTTAATCGTTTTCAGTGGTTATCTTTCTATTATGATGTACTATTTTGGGGTATAGGTGTGCGTGCTAGCCATCATTAGCTATGGTCTAGTGGTTTGATCATTAACCTGCTTTCACTCGTGACATGGTCATTGACCTGTGTCACCTGTCACCTGCATTGGAGGGGTTCCTTGCCTATAACAAACCATTAGTTCCAGTTTCCGGTCATCTCTTTCATTATTTCTCTTATGATGTATCATGTACGAACATAACATATACATGTGAAAGTAGGTTAATGATTTCCGGGTCTTAATTATGTTGTTATGGTCATGTTGCGGTTTGCGGTTTGCTGTTTCGTCAAGGTCATTGGTTACGTCATTACATCATTACATCATTAGTTCCAGTTTCCTTTCACTATTTCTCTTAATGATGTATCATGTACGAACATAATACACACAAGTGAAAGTAGGTTATTAATTTCCGGGTCTTATGTTGTTATGGACATGTTGTGGTTTGCGGTTTGCGGTTTCGTCAAGGTCACTGGTTACGTCACGCCCACTGGTAGGGGGAGGGGAGGGAATGGGGGTGAGTCGTTCTGTCCATAATACCACTACTTCAAGTTATCCCTGCGTGTTTTATATTTTCTCCCTTTTTTACATTTGGTACTTTTGATATTTTAATGTTTCAATTTTACACAGTCAACATGTACTAACGGTGGGTGCATCTAGGAACTTTTTTAGACGGGGTGAGATCGTATACACACACATATATATGTGTGTACATATATATATATATGATTTCCATATATCGATTTCATATATATAGATACATATACACAAATAATATACACGTATATGCATATATACATACATATCTATGTATATATATGTGTGTGTGCACGTGTTTATATATATATATATATATATATATATACATTTTATGCATATATTAATGTACTGTAACTATATACGCACTTATGTATATATGTATATGCATGCATATATGTGTATATGTACTACACATACACATGAAAAAAACAGACAAACCGATTTAAACATTTCTGGCAGAAATGTATCATTATAAGTTTGCTAATGCCTTATTTACAAGTGAAAATATTGACATGAGGGTACATCACCTAAATACCAAAATAAAAGCCATTTTGGATTTATGTGATATATCAACTGTTTGCCCTTTTTATAACTTAAGATTCAACTGAGTAATTTTCAGTATATTACTTGCACATCCCTTATATTTATAGAATGACATCATATTTTCGGTCATGAATCATGACTTGTTCGAAAGGGCTCACTTCCAGCCTGATGAATTGGAAAAGTGGTCATTACCAGTTATGATTCTGCTTGCTCTACCTGTGACATGCTACATAGAGTGTTTATATGTATATATGTATATGTATATGTGTGTGTGTGTGTGATATTTATTTTTACATATTTTGACTTCATCGTGCTCTGTACAATAGTTTTTATTCACATTTTCTCCTTTCTCCGGAAGGTATCCTTAGTATTTTCTAATCTGTTCGGTACCTACAGGATACGGCCAGCGGGACCAAGGATCATCGGTCGCTCAGGCGCCAAGAGAGGGCGCCAGGATCCCAACATTACCTCCAGCTCCTTCGTCAATTCTAGCTCCAGTTCCAGCTCCTTCATCCCGACCTTTACACATCACCCGTTTTGCACCGATGTCGTCGGAATTCGTGGGCGCTCCCGGCAGCGTCAACGGCCTGTATTCGCCCCCGACTACAGAGCCACCCACAGGAACACCCACACTAGATCCAACAAACTTCGAAGAATTCGCGAATTTAGCCCGTGAAGTCCAAGGGTGTTCTAATGTGTGCGAGTTTCGGAACCGCTTCGGAGACTGTAATGTTGATATTACATGTACTTTCTCTCAGAGAGTTAACTTTTAGTGAAGATGAAGCAAGAAATCAACTTTTGACACAATATTTTTTCCACCTCGCAACCAACGCGTTCTTGACACCCTGGGATACAGCAGTGAGGTAATGAACTGATTAAATGTAATTACATGCTACGTCTTTATAATTATCATTCCTGGCTGGTTGCAGGTTTCTTCAGGGTAAATAACCTTGAACTGTATGTAAATGTAGAAAAGGTATAAGTGAGAATGAATATTTGCACAATACAAGAGATATATTTAATACATTTCTTGCATTGTGAAAATATTCATTCACGTTCATACTTTTTCTATGTAAACCTTGTTTCATCCATCCCGCTAGGTATCGTCAATTAAAGCGCCATGAATACCTTTTTAACATTTATTTGACTTTTAATTAATCTGCTCAATTTTAAGTGTGACTATCAATATTTCCTGTGTATTTTTTTTCTTTTTTTGTACACTTGAAATTCGTATTTCAATGTTTCAATTTTACACAATCAGTATGTACTAATTAGAAAATCACACTACTATGTTAGGGTTCGAGAACGGTGGGCAATTTTGAGCAACTGTATCAGATTGGTCCTCCAGATTGGTGTCGCAATCCCCATGCCAGATCCACCCAGCAGCGAAGAACCTTCATATTTTGACTGA